ATTATATATAATTTATTTTATAAAATATATTTTTTAATTATATATATAAAAAATTTTAAATTTAAATTATATGACATATAAATAATGATTTACGGATAAGATTAGATTAAAAAAAAAAAGAAAAAAGGAACGATTGCTTTTTATTAGGTAACTAAACAAAAGTATACATGAAACTAGAAGGCAAAACTTTAGGATTATCCTCTAACTTTTAAAGTTTGGGAGGTTTTGCCCCTCAGCTTATAAATATTTAGATTTAAACCTTTGAGCTTGTCGATTTGAGAAAATAAGTCCTAAACGACAAGGCAATGGCCGTTATCCCACCGTCAACCAACGCCCTGTCAACTTCAACTAAAGCACATAATTAGGACGTGGCACCGACAGGGTACTTGCATGCCGTGTGGGTCCACTCTGACTTAAATAATTTTTTAAAAATAATTTAAAGATTATATTTATATATTTTTAATAAAAATTTATTTATTATTTAAATAATTAATTTTTTTATTAATTTAATACTTATAATATTAAGTTTATTTTCTCATTTAAGGATAAATAAAAATTATATATAAATTATTTTTATATCATTGCCTATAATTTCTTCATTAATTAATGGTATTTTGAAAAAATACCCCATCTTTTTTTTTATATTTTAGAAAAAATACTCTATCTTTAGTAAAATAATAAATGCATTTTAATTCTTTCTTCATATTAAAAATTTAAATATAATTTTTTTTACTTGTAATAATTAAATTCAAGAGATAATAATAGAGTTGTCTAAAAATTGTTAAGCACTTTTTTTGTTGTAAAGGATTTAAATTAATGGTGCCATAAATATATTTTTTTATAATTAATTTATATAAAAAAATTGTAAAAGTTAATATTTATTTTAATGTTATTGACATGTAGTTGATTTTAATTGATTAATTAATTAATTTAAAGTCAACATTTATAATTTTTATGTAAATTAATTGTAAAAATATATATTAATTACATCGATTAACTTGTACTATAAGAGTATAGATTATAAAAATTCATTAAAAAATTTATGTTTTCATTAAAATATGAAAAAAATAACTCTTATTTTAAGACAAATCTAAATAATAACAATAATAAAATTTTATAACATGTATCCTTAAGACATGTTAAATCTTGTTAATTATGGTATTTATAATTAATTATATATAAATTTGCATACC